TTCAGCTCAGGCCTCCCCTTCAGTGCGCCCTAGAATCAGAGCACAGAGTCAGATGGACAGAGCCCTGCTGGGGCCAGCTACAGGACTCTCAGGAGTGACTGCCCACATTCCAGATGCCCTTGCCATCTGGCTTTAAAGCCCAGCCTGAGGGGAAGCAATTGCCACAGTCCTATGCTTCCTTTGTCCTTGGCTTGGTTGAGGGAAGAACCTGTTCAGCTTAAATATCCCCTCCTCCAGGAAGTCTTCCTGGACTTGTCTAGGCCCCAGGGGCCATTTCTGTGGTCCTTTCAATGCCTACACTGAAAGCCTGTCCATCTACCCTGTAACTCAGGGTCTTTGCCCCACATGGTGCAGGTCCCCTGCACACATGCACACGTGCACCCATGCACCCTGTACCCAGTATGTTGTCTCATGCAAATGCAGTGAAAAAGACACAGGGGTGCCAGTTATTCTGGTTGCTGTTAACACCTGAGTAACAATGTTGAGTGAAGCGGAAGGACCCAGCCTGCTTTATTCCAAAGCCTGGGTACGTTTGCACGCAGGCAAGCTGGTGTTTTCCAAAAGAATTCTAAACTGAGAAAATGCTAATTCCCACCCTCCCAGGCCTCACTCCGCTGGGGGCGCAGGGCTGTGAGAGCCCCAGCCCATGAAATGTGTTCAGAACAAGTAAATTTAGAATGAACCAGTAAGGTTAAAATCACAAGCTAGCCATCTGCATTACCCGTGGGGGGCGGGGCGTGGGGGTGGGCTGCTCCCGCCTGCTGCTCTGCCTTCTAATTCAGAGTCACCTGGCCTCAGGGAAGATTTTTAAAGATTTGCTCCTTTTCCTGACACATTGAACTTAACTTGGCATTGAGGGCGGGGTGGGGGGGGAGGTTATTGAACAGAAAGTGAGGAAGGAATCCTAGAATATCATGACCCAGTAGTCGATGGGGCACCACGGCACCTGAGCACATGTCAGCCTCATGTCCCATGTCACCTGTCAGGGGTGGGCATGCACACCTCAGCACCACTGGCAGGCTGGGTTTTCAACACGGTCCTTCCGAGCCACTTCCTCTGGCTTCGCAAGTAAGACAACCATGAAGCCAAAGTCCAGTCCATTTGGTGCGGCACTGCCGCACACCGCTGTTCACAGCCTAGGACCCCAAGCCAGTGGGGGCCCCACCCTCCTGTTGGCAGGATGCAGTCAGACCGCGCTGGGCACAGTTCTCCCTGCTGAGCCACCTGCCCCTCTGTCCCTGCACCCGTTAGCTGCCTCTGAGGCCCAAGCAGCCCCTGGGGACGGCAGAGCCCCTAAAACACAAACAGCCTTTCCCCAGACTGCACAGAATGCCTGTTCCCATCCCCAGATGAACTTTGATGAGCTGGCCATGTGGAAACATCTGAGAGAGCCTGGGTGGGTCAGCAGAAGCTGGGTGCAGGGGGCCAGACATAGGGGCTGGGTGCAGAGGCTGGGTGCAGGGGTCCAGGTGCAGAGGCTTGGCGCAGGATGCAGCTGGGACTCCAGGCTCAGGAGCTCCCACAGGTAACGGAGGGTGAGCTGTATATGGGCCATGGATGGACCATCGCGGGGCTCAAGTCTTACTTGGGACTTCTTTTAGAGCATGCAGACAATGTTGGAAGCCAGACATGACTAGGAAGGGCTTGTGTGCCCAGCCTCCTGCGTGGACTCAGAGGAGTTGGGCAGGGTCAAGGAGCCAGGCTGAGGTCACAGGCCTGTTCTCCTTCGGCTGAAGATGGCCCCTCCAGGCACAGACCAGGGAGAGGCGCCCCGAGGCGAGGCTGCCCTCTGTGACATCACAAGCACTGCCACTCAGAAGGTCACTCTCTGCATCTCTGCTCCCTGCTCTTCAGAGCACCCGGCTTTTCTGTCTGCACTCCAGGCCTGCAGCCCTGCAGGCCCAAACCACACAGACACACCTTCCAAATGAGTCCTGCAGGAAGCACGGACAGAGGCAATTCCACTGTCACAGTACTGAAGACAGGTTCTGTGCCCATTTGCCCTCTGCCCCGTGTAGGGTCACTGGCACTAAATGCCTGCACACGTGCTTTTGGGAAGGAATCCCCTTTTGTTCTTATTCAGCATACTATTGGGGTCTCAGGCAACAGTAGACCCCAACAGTATGCTGAATAAGAACAAAAGGGGATTCCTTCCCAAGAAGAAAAAGTTTCCCTCTCACAGGTTTTGAGTTTAATTTTCAAACTAAAAGGATTTTATGAATATTCCTGGAGAATTTTCAAAAATACCCTGATTGAGAAGCAGAAGCCTGGGGCCTGGGTGTGCAAAGTGGTATCAGGGAGCAGGTCACTGGAGGGGCAGTGCCTCGGGCATCAGGTCTCCTGGGCACACTGAAACTACAACAACCTTTAAAGTAAGGGAAACAGAACCCTAAACGAGATTCCTTTGCTCACTCTCCATGGTATGTCAAGAGCTGGTTTATGTGGGCCCTGGGCACTGTGTTTACATCCATCTGAGCTCTCCTTGGAAATGCAGCAAAGCCACGCATGGCTGAAGCCACACGTCTGCCTGAGTGGAAAACAAATGTGGCCATTTTCTGGCTAGCCCAAGCAGGGTGGCAAGTCAGCTGGGGTCCTTTGGAACCAAGAATACTCATCAGATGTGCATGTATTGGTGGAGGACCACCTCACTGGGTGATCTGGGCTTAACTGCACATGTATTTGTAGCCTTCCATTACTGAAAAGGCTTAAGGTGACTCTCAGTAATAGATACAATTTAACGTGATAAATTAAATAAAAATGAGCAGGTGAAGAAGTGAAAGGCGAGGGGGTAGATGGTAAAGCTGTGCTGGCCAAGTGACCACTTCATGCTGGGGCCTCCTGTCAGCGTGCAGCGTGGACCTGGCAAGCAGAGAGCACGTCCTCCCCAGGTCCCCATCCAGTGCAGCATGTCCCTCTCTTGTGGGAAATAGTGTAACACAGTTTAGCCCTGCCCCCCAGTGAGACATGACAGTGACAGAGAGAAGAGTTCTCAGGGAGGTGCATGGTGTGGTCCCCACGGGTGGTCAACTGGGCCAGACAGGCTGGTCCCAAAGCCATAGATGGAACCACGTGGTTGGCACCCCTCCATGGATAGGCACTGATTAGCGTGAACAAGTCTCCAAGCTCCTTTGCCCAAAGTGTTATGAGCACGGGTGTTTGACAGACACTCACGCAATAATCATGTAATCAGCCACAGCTTCCCCAGGTGGCTTTAAAGGTTACCTACTGTGAAGACATTAGTCATGCATGGGTGCTGACAATGAACTTACCACAGCCAACCCAAACTCTGACCCAGGAACAACATAAAACTGAACTGACCCCAAAAAGTGACACTATTTCAAAACTGAAATAGTGGAACTGCTGAGTGGGGGTTGGGTATTTGCTCATTTACAAAAATATTTTTATGAAAGGCATGGCTGGGGTCCTTCGGAACAGGTTTCCCTCAGCCAGTGTAGCATAACCTACTTACAACATCAGATTTCCCTGCCTTCAGTATACAAAGTAAACTATGGTGGGAGAGTTCCACCACAGGCATGGTCAGCACTTAGATACCACAAGGCCTTAAAAGCTTCACCATGTGCCTCATCTACGGGACACCGCTGGATATTCTCCTCCTGGGTGCAAAGGCTTCTTTCTGACATTGATTTGTCAAATTGTTTCCTATGAGGAGTTTCCAGCAATTAACTAAAATAAAAAGCATGTCAATAGGATAAAAACAAGGCAAAAGACAGTAAAAACTATGTAATCAAGCAGACATAGTTGTCAAAAAGCCTAATAAAGCCAAGGCTATTCTGGCACAACCAGGATTCAACACTACGTGTCCTGAGTCCAAGAGCACATGCCAGAAGGTGAGTGTGTCACCGGTTTCTGCTCCCCAGGCTGCCTTCCCACGGGAGGAGCAATGAGTGATTGACTGTGTAAACATTCCAGCTTTTCTTCTCAATGCTCCCACTTCAAAATACCATTCCTTTGCCATGGCAATTGTCATAAGCCCCTTGCTACAAATATTTGGAGAGGGATTCTTTCCTTAGTGTGGATTACTAAGGTTGGTGTGTTCCCAGCATGTGCCTTGAGTCACTGTTGAGAGAGAGGCAACATCAACTCTTTTGAACACAAATTTCCTCAATAAGGAAGAAAAGCTATCCGTGTGGTGCTTAACTGTGACATATGGAATTCAGGTGTGGACATTATTTAATTTAGCAGCTAATTACCACCAGTGGTTGCTTTCTAAAGTGCAATCTTTACACTTTGCTTTGGTAACACAAATATATGCAATAGAGTGATTTGAATGCAATAACTATGAGGCATTTTCTGCGGGCACTGGTTAGATTAAACAATTCCACAAATGCAGAAGCTTGCCACCCACAGGAACATTGCTGTTCCTTGGCCCTGTCTAGCTTTCCAGCTCTCCTACAAGAGGACATGCAATCGGCATTTTTCTAAAGGTATAAGCTTTACTAGACCATTAATTGTATAAAAACAATGCTTATATACAGACTGGCCCTCAAGAAGTTTAGAATCTCTTTGATGGTGGAGAATATACAAACCTGTTCAAAATCATTGACTCCTTAAAGAATTCATCTGCTTTCTAAGCTGCTACTCCCATGCACATTTCAACTTCAAATTCTATGCATTTTATTCCTTGTACATACAGTTGGAAATTATCTCCTAACGATTTGATTTTTTTTAAGAAAAGAAATAACACACTTCAGTATGTATTAAAAATCAGTCTGGCATTAGAGTTTCATAGATAAAGGAATAAACAAACATTGCATTTGTCTTCAGCTTAATTATAAAAAGAGCATCCTCAGGATGCTATGTCAAGAGACACATGTCACAAACATGGATGAAATCTTGTGATACAGTGGGTCCTGACTCCCTGTCACTAGTCACTAGGATTCGAGGGACAGACTTTCCCGCTGGAGAATTCTAGGATGCTGACCTCTAAAGTCTTCTTTTCCAGAGTAAAATCACAGGAGTCCATTTTCAAGAGGGCTTACCTGGTAATCTGTGTTCTTGTACTGAAATCAAGAGACCTCATTGAGCGTAGAACTTCAATGCATCCCAAGTACTGCAAGGGGAAAAACACAAATCATGAGCCCTGGAACTGAGATGAAGACAGAGTTCCTAACGGCATCAAGGGCAGTTTTGGAAGCCATGCACACTTTGTCTTTGTATTCATGGTAGTGCTTTGTTCTCTTTCTAGAAAGGCAACAACTCACCTATAAAAAAATATCCAGAATTATTACATTGGCACTAAACTCAGCTCTTCTGAAACCCATTAGTATTTTCATTTTATTCAGAAGTACGTTTTTAAAAACTTTTGTTGTGCTATAATTAGTGTACCATAAGAGGCAGAAGTCTTAAATATATATAACTCAATGGTTGTTTAACACATACCTGCCATGTAACTGCCACCCAGACCTCAACACCCCAACATCATATTTTTGCTCCTTTACAAGAATTCTAGATGGTTATAATTTTTAAATGAAGAATGAAAATACTACAATCAATACCAAAATTTTGGCCAACATTAGACTTCATTATTCGATAAATGTATTTTGGGCTCTACGAATAAACTATAAGATTACCCTCAAAGGTGTTTTATTTTCATTTACCTGAAAGTCCTCTTCTGCATCAATATATGCTTTCAGAAGTTCCATGTTTACATCTAAAAGTTAAGCTCTTTCTCAGTTTCCCACCTGAGAATGCATGTGTGTGTATGAATATATGGGCATAATTAAAAGTATAAATAAACAACTGGGAAGGCAGAGATTTGTGTTGCAAAGCCCTTGGGGAGTTTAAAGGACAGATATTTTATACCAGTGTCTTTAAATTTAGACTTAGCAGGAAGAAAACTCATGGTATAGTGCAGAAAAGACTGTTTGAATTATTCAGAAAGCCAGAATTGAGACTCTCTGTGTCATATCTTGTTATGTAACTTAAAGCGAAACTTTAAAGTTCTCTGAGCCTAAAGTCTCTTACACTCATAAAATGGGATGTTACTCTGACCACTGCATAGCTCTGCAGAACCATCACCACCATATCAGTTATGTGGATACCGTGACCAGCACCTGAGCAACATGTGGATTAGACAACCAGGACTGCAGAGCCCTGCAACCACAGAGCACAATGGCACAGGCGCACGTGAATACCAGTACTAACACTGCAGTGACGCGTGACTCCTACCAGCGCTAGCACCACAGAGTGCCACAAATGCCACATCCGCCATCACAGAGTCACATGGATACCATGACTGCCACTGTCAAATTATGTAGATGGGATGATGTCACAAGTTCTATGAAAACTGTGAACAGTCGTACAGGCTTGTGTGAATACCCTGCCGGTACAGAGTTGTGTGGATGTCATTGCCACCACAGTAGAGTTATGTGAATATTACCATTGTCACTAAGGTACATCAAGACAATGACCTGCTTTGCAGTTACAGGATTGCCATGTCCATCACTGTCACAATCTGGCAACATCACAATGGGCCACAGTGTGACCATCACCACCAGCATCTGTATGACCAAAGTGGCAGCAACACCTCTCCTCACGAAGATACACAGATACCGTCACCACCAGCATCGCAGTTATGCAGACTTTACATCCAGCTGCAGACTGATGAGATACCCCATGACCACCCTCGCAGATGCATGGATGTTAACAATGAGCACGGCAGAGTATCCTGATGCTGTGCCCTAGGCCACCATCAGAGAGCCAGTGGTTACTACAAACACAGCTGCAGAGCTAGATGAACAGCGCCTGACCATCAGAGTCGTGTGAAAACCACAAATACTGTCATGGTTATACGAACACCACTAGCAACACTGCAGTGATATTTGAGGACCTTGACCACCACCACTGCAGAATTATATTAATACAACCACAGCCATCACAGAATTCTCTGCATACCGCATCCAGACTCATAGTTATGTGACAACCATGACCAAAGTCACAGAGCTAGATGAACAGCAAACCTACTAACATCATAAAGTACTGTAGGTGCCATGGCAACCGGGGCAGGGCTAGGTGGGTGCCATGGTGACCTGGGCAGGGCTAGGTGGGTGCCACAGTGACCATCCCAGGGCTAAGTGGGTGCCAAGGTGACAGTGGCAGATCTAGGTGGGTGCCACAGTGACCATCCCAGGGAAAGGTGGGTGCCATGGCAACTGTCCCAGGGATAGGTGGATGTCACAGCGACAATCCCAGGGCTAAGTGGGTGCCATGGCGACCATGGCAGGGTTGGTGGGTGCCATAGTGACCATCCCAGGGCTAGGTGGGTGCCACAGCGACCATCCCAGTATTAGGTGGGTGCCACAGCAACCATCCCAGTGTTAGGTGGGTGCCACGGTAACCATTCTGTGCTAGGTGGGTGCCATGGTGACTCTCCCAGTGCTATGTGGGTGCCATGGTGACCATGGCAGGGCTAGGTGGGTGCCACGGCAACCATCCAAGTGCTAGGTGGGTGTCACAGCAACCGTGGCAGGGCTAGGTGGGTGCCATGGCGACCATCCCAGGGCTAGGTGGGTGCCATGGTGACCGTCCCAGGGCTAGGTGGGTGCCACAGTGACTGTCCCAGTGCTAGGTGGGTACCACAGCGACCGTGGCAGGGCTAGATGGGTGCCACGGTGACTGTCCCAGGGCTATGTGGGTGCCACAGCGACCATGGCAGGGCTAGGTAGGTACCAGACGACCATGGCTGGGGTGGGTGGGAGCCATGGCGACCACCCAGTTGTAGGTGGGTGCCATGGCGACCATCCCAGGGCTAGGTGAGTGCCAGGTGACCGTGGCAGGGCTAAGTGGGTGCCATGGCTACCATGGCAGGGTTGGTAGGTGCCATAGTGACCATCCCAGGGCTAGGTGAGTGCCAGAGCAACTGTCCCAGTGCTAGGTGGGTGCCACAGGGACCGTGGCAAGGCTAGGTGGGTGCCATGGTGACCGTGGCAGGGCTAGATGGGTGCCACGTTGACTGTCCCAGGGATAGGTGTGTACCATGGAAACTGTGGGAGGGCTAGATAGGTGCCATGGCGACCATCCCAGGGCTATGTGGGTGCCACAGCAATTGTGGGAGGGCTACGTGTGTACCATGGAGACCATGGCAGGGCTAAGTGGGTGCCAGACAACTGTGGCAGGGCTAGGTGGGTGCCATGGTGACCGTCCCAGGGGTAGGTAGGTGCCACAGTGATCATGGCAGGGCTAGGTGGGTGCCACAGTGGCCGTCCCCAGGGCTAGGTGGGTGCCATAGTGACCATGGCAGGACTAGATGGGTGCCACGGCTACCGTGGCAGGGTAGGTGGGACAATGAGGATCATAGCAGAGCTAGGTGTATAAGGTGACTGACATTGCAGTATTATATGTATCCCAACACCACCATTGCAGTTATGTAGATATAAGTACCACCATCACAGAATTGTGCAGATACCACCAGTACCATGAATACCATCACAGCCACCATTGCAGAGTCCCTTGAATACACCACCAATGCCATCCCACACATATGGGAGTATGAACAAAGCTACTGAAGAGGGCTGTCAATACTGACACCAACATTAGTTATGTGACTCCAGCAAAATCCCAGCTCTGGGAACACCACAACCACTAGTGCTGGGGTGTGTGAAAACCACAGTAGTACCAGAGAGGTGTGTGAATCCTACTACCACCATCGCTGCGTTATGTGAAGACCACCAACTGCCACGTGGAGTTATTTCGATACTTCAACCACTGTGGCAGAGCCCGAACACCATCCCCAACATCCCTAAGGTATGTTGACACCATGTCTGCGTCATGGAGCCATGCAAATGCTGCCACCACCACTGCTGCAGAGTTTTATGAATACATGACCACCACTGAGGCCAAGTTACGTGGCTGTGCTGACCGAAGTCTCAGATTCACATGAACACCACCACCACCACTGCACGTGACACATTTACGCCAGCACCACTGTCACTGTAGAGTTGTATAAATAAATACCATGTCCAAATATCCCAGGGCTAGGTGAGTGCCAGGTGACCGTGGCAGGGCTAAGTGGGTGCCATGGCTACCATGGCAGGGTTGGTAGGTGCCATAGTGACCATCCCAGGGCTAGGTGAGTGCCAGAGCAACTGTCCCAGTGCTAGGTGGGTGCCACAGGGACCGTGGCAAGGCTAGGTGGGTGCCATGGTGACCGTGGCAGGGCTAGATGGGTGCCACGTTGACTGTCCCAGGGATAGGTGTGTACCATGGAAACTGTGGGAGGGCTAGATAGGTGCCATGGCGACCATCCCAGGGCTATGTGGGTGCCACAGCAATTGTGGGAGGGCTACGTGTGTACCATGGAGACCATGGCAGGGCTAAGTGGGTGCCAGACAACTGTGGCAGGGCTAGGTGGGTGCCATGGTGACCGTCCCAGGGGTAGGTAGGTGCCACAGTGATCATGGCAGGGCTAGGTGGGTGCCACAGTGGCCGTCCCCAGGGCTAGGTGGGTGCCATAGTGACCATGGCAGGACTAGATGGGTGCCACGGCTACCGTGGCAGGGTAGGTGGGACAATGAGGATCATAGCAGAGCTAGGTGTATAAGGTGACTGACATTGCAGTATTATATGTATCCCAACACCACCATTGCAGTTATGTAGATATAAGTACCACCATCACAGAATTGTGCAGATACCACCAGTACCATGAATACCATCACAGCCACCATTGCAGAGTCCCTTGAATACACCACCAATGCCATCCCACACATATGGGAGTATGAACAAAGCTACTGAAGAGGGCTGTCAATACTGACACCAACATTAGTTATGTGACTCCAGCAAAATCCCAGCTCTGGGAACACCACAACCACTAGTGCTGGGGTGTGTGAAAACCACAGTAGTACCAGAGAGGTGTGTGAATCCTACTACCACCATCGCTGCGTTATGTGAAGACCACCAACTGCCACGTGGAGTTATTTCGATACTTCAACCACTGTGGCAGAGCCCGAACACCATCCCCAACATCCCTAAGGTATGTTGACACCATGTCTGCGTCATGGAGCCATGCAAATGCTGCCACCACCACTGCTGCAGAGTTTTATGAATACATGACCA